CATCACTTGGCTGTTCCTTGTTTCTTGGGTGTGTTTTTTTCACTTAGGGAAAACTCTCCCTTTGTCTCTCCAGTAGGTGCCCAAATACATGTGAAGAATGGTTTGAATGGTGATGGACCTGGTGCCATGTATGCTTTCAGACCCCCATGCACCCTCGGGGCCGAAGTGGACTCCCGCTTTGAGTGACCAGGCCTGGTGATGAGGATTTCCTGTGGCTGCTGGGGGAGGCCAGGGGCCTCAGAACAGCTGCTGGAGGGCAAAGGGAGAGGCCGGGCTCAGGGCACGTTCCGGGTCTGATGCCAGCTCTCTACTCACCAGCTGGTGTCCCACTGCAGTTGCTGTCGGTGGAGGGACCATTCTGGGGGTCTGTTCTCACAGTCCCGAAGAGCCGATGGCTAAGAAGATGCCCTCGAAGCTGCCTGTAAACTGTGAACCCACTTGCTCTGTCCCCAGGTCTTCTTATTCCTGTCTTTCCATTTTGGGGGGTAATAAGTGATTTTTTGGTTAAGATAGAAACCATTTCCTAAGTTACCAGGGAAAACAGTCTTGCTTATTTGCACTAACTGAGACATAATGACATATTCACATAGTATCAGGTCCACCCTTGCAGGTCTCGGTGACTGGTCAGGACCCAGGGAACTGAGGCTCATGGGGAGCAGACTGCCTGCCCCTCAGAGGACACCGTGCGTCCACAGGAACAGGAGGTACTGGCCAGTCGCTGAGGCTAAACCCTGTTTTCTTGACCAATTCCTCTGTCTCTGCGGGAAGGGGAGCTCATGCCTCCTTCTCCCTCCACAGGGACCTCTTCCCACCTTGCCCGAGGGAGGCCTGGCTGGCTCCTGGGACATCCGCACCTTCGAGGAACCACCTCAGCCAGACTCCGAGCTTCCGGGTGGATACCAGCCGTCCATCACTTTCTAGTCACGGGCTTTCTCTTGCTCAGCCCCAATCCCATTGTCTTTTAAATTAAAAAGAAGAAATTGAAAAGGGAGAGAAGAAACTCTAGAAGGCTCCAAGTTCTTATCTGGTGGAGCTCCAGCAGGGCAGAGCTGCCGTTGGGCAGCTAACAAGGGAAGGGGTCCCTAGGGGGTGGCCCTGTGGCCCCCAGCTGGGTGATGCCCGCAGTGCTCCGTCATCCCCGATGGCAGCTGCGGCAGAGGGTCCAGCCACTGACCCCGCACCCCACTCCTTGCCCTCTTTCCCCTTCTCTCCCCTAATCCCAGCTTCACATCAGTCCCTAACCATCCCCACCCACCCCCCACCCCCACATGCCAGGGGCAGCGTTTCTCTCTCACTTCTGGCTCCTACTGCCCAGACCAGACCTCATCACCTCCACCTCTCCATCTGTGACAACAGCCTCGGATTACATCCCTGGGTGTTCGAGAAGGGTCTTCCCTAAGTAAGGCCAAACACCCGAGGTGACAGAGCCCCAAGTTCCTGCTGGGGGGGCGATGTCTCTGTCCACCCCCACATGCAGCCTCAGCACCTGCTCAGCTGACTTCCTTCACTCACACTGTCTCCATTCCCACAACACCACCCATGGAATCCCCTCCATCCCCCAGGGCTGCCCACATACCACCTCCTCCATGAAGCCTACCCTACCTCCCCACCAAGGGTGGGTCCTTCCTCTGTTAGCCTATCAAGCTCACTTTGTGGCTCACAGATCCCATCCTCATTGGTGTAGTGATGATTTGGAACATCTGTCTCCTCTGCCTCGCAGCATGCTTTCTGAGGCAGTTGACCGAGGTTTTCCAGGTTGGCACCTGCGGGTAGGATGTGAAATGTCCATTCTCCCATGGGATCTGCAGTACTGAGGAGCGATCACAGTAGAGGAAAACCACAGCTGGTGGCAACGCCAGGTGTCGGGCCAAGTCGGGGGACTCGGGGGACACACGTGTACACAGTCGCCAACAGACTCAAGTGGCCCAAGAAGGCAACCCAGTCCCGGGAGGAGACCCACGCCACCTGGAGGAGCCATGGAGCCAGATCAACAAACTGTTGGTGGGCTTCAGCCAGCAGACTCTTCTGGTGTCTGCCCCCGATCCTGGGCCTGCCTCAACCAGGCCCCGTGCTCAGCTGTAAGGAGGCTCTGAGGGCCACGTGACCTGAGCCTGGGCCGCTGTCTGGCCACGGTCTGTTCGTCTGTTATGTGTCTTTACTGGGGAGCCACAGCCTGTTTATTATAAAGCTGTTGGAAGTTGCCTGGGGGAAAAAAAAAAACCCAGAAGAAAACCAAAAAGAGCCATATTTCCATAGGATGCTACTTCTCATCAAGTAGCTTATCCCAAAAGTCCTGCCCAAATCCTTGCTAACTGGAGAGCCTCTAGTTCATCGGGGTCACAGAGGCCCTGAGCTTCCTCTTGGTCCCAGACAACAGCATCCCGTCCAACTATGGTTTTCCCTACACCTGGGCCAAGCATGTCACAATTTTTGGCTAAATGAGCCTAGAGCTGGTGACGGTTACCAGACATCTTGTGACAGGTAACTCTGATAACAGCAAATCCTTCGCCCAGGTTTCTGTGGTTTTTATGCCGACTCTGTCTTTCATTCTGACAGACAATATCCTCTGTTCCTCTCTTGCTTATATCTGGATCAGACAGATAAATCTCCAGCCATGATTCTCTGGTCCCGGTCTGGTCAGCGCTGACCTCACAGGAAGTTCGTGGGGAAGGTTCCGACCCGCCTGGAGGAGAGGAAGCAGAGTGCCAGAGAAGGAAGCCAGAGCGCAGGCCTGATGGATGAGCCTGGGAGGAGAGACTAGGGGAGGTTCGGGAACACTGCATGTGCTGGGGAGAGGGATGGAGCCTGCAGATCTCCAGAAGATAACTAGAAAACGGATGGCATCCCATCCTCCTCCTCTTTACTTCCTTCTTGCTTTTTCTGGAAAGCGCATTTAGCGGTCAATTTCCACTCGTTCTCCTCACTGCCTCCCTGACTTCTCCTTCAAGAGTCAGCCCCAGGCTCACCTCCTCCAGGCAGACTTCCCTGAGTTTGCCTTGTCTGTACTGGGGCTTCTCCCCCCATGGAGTGTCAGTGATGCTGTTCAGTGGCTATCAGCTCCCATTTCCCTTGCTCAGGGGACTGTGAGCTCACTGATGCCATTCATCTCTGTGTCCTCAGTGCCTAGTGCTCTGTCCGGCTCAAGTGCGCTTCTGCAGGAGGCTGGCCCTCATACTTTCTGTGTCTGTCTCCAGCCCCACTGGTGTTGTCCTAGCCACATTCACATCATCTCCCGTCCACGCAGCTTCCATGGTCCTCCACTCCCCCAACTCTTCTCCCTGCCTCCACCCAGCCAGTATGTGCTTACCTGTCACCAAAGGGCCATCTCAAAGGAAGCAGAAAGACCTGCATTCACATCCTAGCCCTACCACTCTCTAGCTGTGTAATCTTGATGAAGTACTTTAATATTTCTAAAATTCACATTCCCCATGTCCATAATGGATGCAGACATCTTTGATGACAAAAATAGGATCATGTGTTAGAAGACACCAAGTACTGAGTCCTCCTCTCCAAAACATGGAAAGTTAAGTAAGACAAGAAGCCCTCTCTCCTGTCTCAGAAGGAAGTAGAACAGAGCAATCCAGAGCTGCAAGCCCCTCGTTTCTCCTCTGCCAGATGGCAGGCGTTTCAGGGACAGAAACACAACTTTTCGTTTCCCAGAGGCCAGCACAGTCCACAGCTGATAGGAGTCACTGGGTTGGTATTTGTAAATCAACCACAGGGTGTTTCCTTTGTGTTTTAGATACAGGCTGGATCAATGCTCTGCTTTATGTGGACTTCCCCCTCTGATTATCACCTCACGTGTCCTCCTGGCACACCCCCTCCAGGCCTGACTCCTGGCACAGAAACAACGCCTCAGGGGATTAGAGATCAGGGAGAGGTGCCCCAGCACCCAGCCCTCTGCCGGCACACTGTGGGAGCTCACACACCGCGAGGGCTTGTGGAAACGCTTTCACATGCATCCTTAGCTGAGCAGCTGCTGTAATGAGGGAAGTTCCCTTAGGGGGAACCCGTGACCATGTGCGGGCAAAGGGGGAAGACTAGAAGGAGAAGTACAAAGAAGCAGAGTACTGGGTGAGGATGGTGAAAGAAGCACCGCGGAGGACAACTCTGGGGGAAGGTAAAAGAAGGACAAGTCAGAAGATTCTGGGGGGCTAGGAATGGCCTCCCATCTGAGCCCCAGAAACTGGAGGAGAGCAGAAAGAGATGGGAGCAAGTGGGCCATGCTGAAAATAAGGCTTTGCCCAAGAAACTACATTTACCAGCAGATTCGGGTGTCACCACAAGTGATTTAGGAAGTCATGCTTATAGGTCTGGGCATCCTGAGCCCAGGGTCCTGTGTCCATCCGCTATCAGTCCGGCTGGAGGCTGCCTTTCCACAGAACTAACCTTAGGGTCCAGCTGCCTCCTTGATCCTGTCCTCCTTCACAGAGCACAAGTGAATTATTAAGTAATTACCCACCGACCCCCACCCCCAAAGCTTACCCAGGCTCTGATACATGACAAGCATTGTCCTTCCCATCTCACAGGTCAAGTCACACTGTGAGTGAGAGTCCAGGCTCCATCTGAGCCGGGCAGATTCCAGAACTGTGAGCTTATCTCTTCACTATGCTGTCTACCCCAAGCCTGGAAACCTTTCCCATGTCCCCTTCTAACCCCTTACCTGTTAACTTGTCTGGAACTAGTATACAGAACTAACTCAACCCCACTATTAAAGTCATTCCCAAAAGGAACAGAAAATCAGAACATGTCTAACCCCCGATCCCTGCCACTGTCATAGGCTATATGGACACCCAAGACTCAGACTTTGGACACTAGGATCCCAAATCGTGCAGGTGGGTAATCATGCTCTCCTTCCAAGTTCTTTGGAGAGAAAGGAGGCTCAGGAACACCATTCTGTTTCATTGAAAATCTAGGCTTGACTCCTAATATCCAGAAGAAGATCAACCTTGGTGGTAACTCACCTAAAACTGGGCATCCTAAAAAAGCAAGATGGAAGGTAATAATGGAAATCAGTTACTGAATTTGGTAAGTATAGGAAATGAATTGTCCCTAAGTTTGGCCCCATTTCTAGGTAGCAACTTTCTCTCTCAACTTTGTAAGGGGCCCTTGGGCCCTGGAAAGCTCCATAGTCAAATGATAGTTGCTAGGTGTGGGTGTGCTTCTCTGGGTAGTATGGGGCCCTTGGCGGGGGGCCCATGCAGAGGCATGTGGGACTGAGCTCAGAGTGAATGGAAGAAGGAAGCATGGCTTACAACCTTCTTTTTTTCCTGGAATAATGTACTTGAAATATATTTTATTTTGTCCTTTTCATCAGAACCTCTTGACTTCCTCATCTTTTAATTATTATTCTCTGGATTCTTCCCCTATAATTTCCACCTTTCCTTGGTCTTTTTTGTTGTTGTTTGTTTGTTTGTTTGCTTGTTTGTTTTTGGCAGTTTTATACCTGTATTTGACAATCAGTGATTAGTTCTCATCCACATTAACTGCCTGTAGATTTTTGAAAGTGGTGACAGGTACATAGATAGCCAATGTATAGAGCTTGTTTGGTGAAACTTCATCCTCGTTATGTTTTCTGGACAACCACACATGGATACAGTTTAGAACATTCCTTATTCCTTTGGCCCAGACAGATTTGTTGAACCTGGTATCAATGCACACATCTGGAGTTCCCATCTCCTTCATGGCAAATTTCCAGATCTCTTTGAGTGCCCGACGGGCACGCTTCTTGAAGCTTACTCCATGAATGTGCCTCTGAATGTCAGTGGTGTATTCTCGGGTCATTACCTGGTCGATGGCAGAACAGCACTTCTTCATCTTGCCGCCCTTCTTTGTGGGTGCCATTCTGCCGGGCCCTGGTTGGAAAGGAAGCTGTTGTTTTTAATATAAACTTTTACTGATTTAACTATACATTTACATGCAGTGATAAGAAATAATACAGCAAGGTCCCATGTACTGTTTATACAAATTCTCCCAATGCTAGCATTCTGCAAAACGATAGTATAATGTCATAAACACAATATTGACATTGCTACAAGCCCCAAATCTTATTCAGTTTCACTAGTTTTTTTTTTTATTCATTTGTGTGTGTGTTTAGCTTCATACAATTTTATCACATGTAGGTTTGTTTATTCATAACTAGAGTCAAAATACAGAACAGTTCTATCTTTATGACCACATTCACCTCCCTTCTCCATCGCCTGTCTCTAACTCCGGGTGACCACCAATTTGTTCTCCATCCCTATAATTTTATCATTGTAAGCATGTTATATAAATGGAATCATACAGTATGCAATTTTTGGAGATTGGTTTTTTTCATTCAGCAAATTCTCTTGAGATCCATCCAAGCTATTGCATGTGTCAATAGTTGTTTCCTTCTTATTACTGAGTAATATATTCATGGTATGGATAAACCACAGTTTGTTTAATCATTCATCCATTGAAGGGTATCTGGGCTCCTTCCAGTTTTTGACTATTATGAATAAAGCCACTTTGTACATTTGGATACGGGTTTTTAAATGCACATAAGTTTCCACTTCTCTGAATAAATGCCCAAGAATGCAATTGCTGGGTTGTACGTTAGTTGTATGGTTAATTTTATATGAAACTGCCAAAATGTTTTTCAGAGTGCCTACAACATTTTACATTTCTACAAGTAATGTAAGAGTGAGGCAGTTTCTCCACAACCTCACCAGCATATGGTGTTATCATCATCACTGTTTTTAATTTTCACCATTCTGATAGATACATAGTGATTATCCCATTATGGGTTTTAATTTGTATTTCCCTAATATCTAATGATGTTGAACATATTTTCATGTGATTATTTGTCATCTGTATATGGTCTTCAGTGAAATGTCTGTTCATAACCTTTGCCCATTTTCTAATTAGATTGTGGTCTTTTTACTGGTAGGTTTTGAGAGCTTTCTTCTAGATATTAGTTCTTTATAAGATATGTGGTTTGCAAACATTTTTTTCCCCAGTATATAGTTTGTCTTCTCATCCACACAGAGCAAAAGATTTTGTTTTGGATGTGGCTCAGTGTGTCAATTTCTCCTTTTATGAGTCACATCTTTTTTTTTTTTTTTTTAAGATTTTATTTATTTATTTGACAGAGAGAGAGAACACATGAGAGGGGATAGGGTCAGAGGACGAAGCAGACTCCCCGCCGAGCAGGGAGCCCGATGCGGGACTCGATCCGGGGACTCCAGGATCATGACCTGAGCCGAAGGCAGTCGCCCAACCAACTGAGCCACCCAGGCGCCCTATGAGTCACATCTTTGTTGTCAAATCTAAGAACTATTCCTCTATTCTTAGATACTGAAGATTTTCTCCTATGTTTTATTTCAAAGAGTTTTCTAGTTTTACATTTTACATTTAACTCAGATTCACTTTGAGTTAATTTTTGTATAAAATGTGAGGTTTAGCTCAAGGTTCATCTTGTAATTTTGTTCATTTGGATTTCTCTATTTCTTTTCAGCTTTATCAGTTTTGCTTTATATATTTTGAGGCTCTATTGTTTGGTATGTACATATTTAGTTTCATTATATCTTTCTAGTAGATTGCTATGTTTACCACCATGTAACATGCATCTTAGCTCTAGTACTTTCTTTGTGCTAAAGACTACTTTATCAGAAATTAATATAGTCACTCTTTTTTTTTTAAAGATTTTATTTATTTATTTGACAGAGAGAGGCACAGTGAGAGAGGGAACACAAGCAGGGGGAGTGGGAGAGGGAGAAGCAGGCTTCCCGCCAAGCAGGGAGCTCAATGTGGGGCTTGATCCCAGAACCCTGAGATCATGACCTGAGCCGAAGGCAGATGCTTAATGACTGAGCCACCCAGGCACCCCATAGTCACTCTTTTTTACTAATATTTGCATAGCATATTTTTCTATCATTTAACTTTCAATCTGCCCATGTCATTGCAATTTTTTTTAATTTTTTATTGTTATGTTAATCACCATACATCATTAGTCTTAGATGTAGTGTTCCATGATTCATTGTTTGCGCATAACACCCACTGCTCCATGCAGAACGTGCCCTCTTTAATACCCATCACCAGGCTAACCCATCCTCCCACCCCCCTCCCCTCTAGAACCCTCAGTTTGTTTCTCAGAGTCCATCCTCTCTCATGGTTCATCTCCCCCTCTGATTTCCCCCCTTCATTCTTCCCCTCCTGCTATCTTCTTCTTTTTTTTTTTTCTTAACATATATTGCATTATTTGTTTCAGAGGTACAGATCTGAGATTCAACAGTCTTGCACAATTCACAGCGCTCACCATAGCACATACCCTCCCCAGTGTCTATCACCCAGCCACCCCTTCCCTCCCACCCCACCCCCCACTCCAGCAACCCTCAGTTTGTTTCCTGAGATTAAAAATTCCTCATATCAGTGAGGTCATATGATACATGTCTTTCTCTGATTGCATGTCATTGCAATTTAAGTCCATTTCTTAGAAACAGCATTTACTTGAGTTATTTTATTCACTCTGCCAATCTCTCTCTTTTGATTGGTAGGTTTATACTATTTATATTGAAGGCAAGTATTGATAAATTAGCAATTAAATCCTCTATCATTTTATTTATTTTCTCTTTGTTTCTTATGGTTTTGGTGTTTCTGTTAGGTGTTTTAGGATGAGATTTACATTTAAATAGGTGGACTTAGAATAAAACAATTGTGCTCCATAATGTGGGTTGCCCTCATCCAGTTAGTTGAAGGCCTTAATAGAACAAAAAACTGACCTCCCTAAAAGCAAGAGGGAATTCTGCAGCAGGCCTTCAGACTTGAACTGCAATACTGGCTCTTCCTGTGTCTCCAGCCTGCCAGCCTACCCTGCAGATTTTGAACTTAAGTAGATATACTACCTGTTTACATTCATCACTTGATGGTTGTTTAAGCTGTTCAAACTTGTTTTTTCAAATTTCTCCTGTGATTCCTTTTTGACTTATTGATTATTTAGGAATATGTTGGTTAATTTAGACAAACTTGGGGATTTCTCAAATTTTTTTCTGTTGTTCATTTCTAATTTCAGTCCTTTGAAGTGGAGAAAATAAATGTATCGTTGCAATCCTGTTAAATTTATGAAGACGTATTTTGCGGACTGGCATATGGAGAATAATTCATATGCATTTATATAGTTTATAGTGTTTTTTTCAAGATGCATTTATTTGGTTTATAGAGTTATTCAAGTGTTCTATTTTGTTGTTGAACTTCTGCCCAGTTGTTTTATTCTTTACTGATATTAGGGTATTGAAGCCTCCAAATATTATTGTTGATTGTCTATTTCTCTCTTCAATTCTGTCATTTTTTGCATCACGTATTTTGAGTCTTTGTGGTTACATTCATAAATGTTTACAATCATTATATTTCCTGAATGGATTAACCCTGATATTATTATAAGGTCTTTCTTTGTATCTAGTGATGATTTTTGTCTTAAAGTTCTCTTTTGTGTGCTCTTTGTGTGGTATATCTTTTTCTATTCTTTATTTATGTCTTTGAATATAAAATATGTCTCTCTTAGACAGTTGGATAATTTTTAATACATTCTTCCAGTCTCTGTCTTTTGATTGGGGCATTTAATCCATTTATAAATAACATAATTGCTTATAATGTGAGATTCTTGTTTGCTATTTTGCCATTTCTTTTATATATGTCCTATAGCTTTTGCTAGTGTTTCTCTATTGCTTGATTTCTCAATCTTCGTGGTGTTAAATAGACAGTTCCTAGTGTAGCATTTTAATTCCTTTGTTATTTCTTTTTCCAGACTTTTCCAAGTTATTTTCTCAGTCATTGGCCTGGGATTGCAAGTAGCATTTTAAGAGTGTATAAAACTTTGCTCCACTATTACTTCATTCCCTACCTCATCCTTGGTGCTATTATTTTCATAAAAATTATATTTTATATGTTTATATAAGTTTATATTTATATATGTTTTATGTTTATATATAAAATTATATTTTTATATGTATATGATACAGTTTTATATTTATTTTAATGCAGTATTTTAAGACAGAGGAGAAAAGATTTACAAACAAAAACATGTTTATATTGTCTTTCATAATACATGGTTATTTTTACTGCTGCTTTTTCCTTTGTGTGGATTCGAATTATTGTCTAGTGTCCTTTCATTTTAGCCTAAAGAATTCTGGTTAGTTTTTTGGTTTTTGTTTTGTTTTGTGTTTTATTTTTTTGTTTTCAGGTGTGCTAGCAACTAATTCTTAGTTTTTATTTATCTGGAAATGCTTTAATTTCCCTTTCGATCTGCAGGAGAGTTTAGCTAGATAAAGAATTTTTGCTTAATAGGCTTTTTCTTTCAATACTTTGAAGATGTCATCCCATTGTTTTCTGACCTCTGGTTTCTGATGAGAAGCCAGCTGTTAATATTATTGAGTATTCCTTGTACTTAATAAACTGCTTCTCTTTTACTGTTTTTAATATTTTCTCTTTGTCTTTGAATTTCATTAATTTGACTGTGATATGTCTATAGTGGATCTTTTGGATTTTGTTCTATTTGGATGTGTAGATTAATGTTTTTCATCAAATTTGAGAAGTTTTCAGATACTTTATTAAATTATTCTCTGTCTCTTTCTTTTCTCATCTCTGTCTGGGACTCCTATTTTGCATATGTTGGTATGTTTGCTGGTGTCCCACAGACCTCTGAGGTTCTATTCATTTTTCTTCATTATTTGTTCTTTCTGCTTCTCAGACTGGATAATCTTTAAGCTTATTGATTCTTTTTTTTCCAGCTCAAATATGTTCTTGAGTTCCTCCAGTGACTTTTTCACTTCAATTTCAAAACTTCTATTTATGTATATATACAATTTTTCTCTTCACTGACATTCTGTATTTGGTG